TTCAAAGTCAAAAGGAATTGATGTCAAATGTGTTTTCAATTTCACAAGACCGACCTAACAAAGGGACATTATCTTATAATTAATTCCTAAAGCTGGTTTTCAAAATTGTCTTTACATTTACTTAGTAAAAGGTAGCTCCGACACAGGTAAAAAGTTCTGAGGGAATTAAAATAATTTATATGTCAATATTTGACATTGCTAGCGTTATTCAGTGACCTGTTTATTGATTCATCTTTGTGACGTTTTTCTTGTAGTTGAAACACACGTTTTCAAATAACAGCCACTTTCCGCTCTTATTATATCCTAAAAATTGCGTCCCCACGTAGGATGCAATTTTTAGTCATTTGAAGCCCCACCCTGGCTTCTGCCGGGGGCCCTGAATATAGCCAGGCCATAGATATGGCTTAAAGGCTGTAAGGGGTTTCTAGGACCTCTCCACAGGTGATCCTCATCCGAATAGTGGCACTTTGTGTCACTAGGTGTTTATCGCTTTTGTGATGTCCTGGTGGGGTACAACTACCAACCAACTAACCGCGCCTATTATGATGATGATAATTTATTCCTCTATAATCTGTGATGCTAAAGAGTTCGTGCACTGGGCCGAGAGTTTCCTTATGGGATGTGTGAGAGAAGGCAGACAATGACTAGAAACTTGGCAACATTCACGGAAATATACCAACGCTATTGTAATAATGGTGTCGTCCTCTTCTTTTTCCTTTCCAGCAACGGAAAGAACCACACACACACACAAAATCATCATCAGCAGCATCAGGTACCTTGCCAACTGGCCTAGGCGATCATGCTTCTCTACAATCAGCAATCTCCTGCAGCATGTTTCAGTTCGTGTGCTGACACACCTCCATGCCATGCAACAAGACTGTCATGAATCTACACTCGTTGTCTTCCTCTGTCCCTTCTTCCACAAATCTTTCCAGGGATATATATAAAATATTAATGACGCCAAATCCTATTCCAATTTGTATGTGAGTTATTTCAGGGCAATACCATCTGAAACTACATAAAATAGTTGCATAGTGGCTCTAGTCACACCTGATGGCCCCAGGGTCGGTGTTCGAATACCCATCGAGACAGTTTTGTTTCAACATTGACTTTAGATCCCAGGTGGCTTCATCCTAAAGTCGGTACAAGGCAATGTCCTTGGAAGTAAAGGCAGCCTGCTTAATGTTGACCACAGCAACCATAGTGGTTGGCGCCAAGATGCGACACTAACGTTAAAAGTTCTACTTTTTTACATGAACATTTTGGCCACTTCAAGCGCCATGACGGATTGGAAAGTATAGAGCTGAAGGCATGGTACTAGGAATGAGAGGCAGGGGTCAACGAGCATGAAGATGGGCACAGGATATAAGTAACACATTGTGTAGGAAAGGGCACCAGGCGGGAGATTTTCTTTCAAGAAGACCGTGATGGGAGCGACGTTCTGCAATGGACTTTTTTGTATGAGTATTGTGGCTTGTATATATAAAACTGAATATAATCATAAGATGGGAGACTTCATATAATAACGTCAAAGGCATTAAAAATAATACTCTTTTGATATAAGTAGCGAACGGCACAAAGTCTAACTAACTTGAGTACTTTTATAAACACTATATTAATCAAATCTGCTAAAACTTTTTTTTAATGCAGAAAATACTGTCATAGCCAGAGAAGTTGACTGATGAAGGAAGATGCCTGGAAATGTCTTGAGAAGTAAAGGAAGTCGACATGATTTCACCACATCACCCATACAGCTGCGATTTGTGGGACGACCATATGCCCCGTTTTCACCGAAAGAATCCCGTGTTTTTGGCTTGTTCATGTTTATTCGACGGATCAACATCATGGCACACGGGTGTAACCCATAAGTGCTCCGTCCTACATCTAATTAAAGTGCACAGTGAATGAACTCCGTTGCACCGGCGAGGATCCTGAAATACTTTGTGTAGATTTTTTTAAACTCCAAATTTTACCCGGGCATCGCCGTTAGGCTACTATTTTCGATTTCCAACTGCCAAGTTATATTTTACGTGCTCAACAATGCACATGGGCGTCCGATCTCAATATCCAGAGACCAGGGGCACTTACTAGAAGTCTGCCGTTTTTTAGGTATGTCCCATTTTTCCAAGCGGTAGACTTCATAGTTTTAGATGCTTCTACTTCAAATGTATTAATATCCATTTTCATTGTGGCATGCATTTGGTATTTTCTTAATACACTTAAATGGCATATTGTTTCGCTTGTTTCTTAGTAACAGTGGCTCCATTTTTAATGCACTTTTAAAGCAAGGAAATAGCTCTTTAAACTCTAGCGACCTAGGGATCGGCTCGACCATAGACGCTCGCGCTGTTAAAGACTTTCTCTGATGTTGGCTTTTTATCTTGGTCTTGGTCTAAGTTGTGCTTTATGTCGTTCTCCTCCTTTAGTGTATGACCTGTACGGGATGGCGGCACAAAGCATTCTTTCTAAGTTGGCAAACTATTGCTGTCCGCAATGTAATTTGCATGTAATTTAGAATTTTTTTTCTTTCGACAAAATTGTCGTTACATAACAAATTCTAAATTACATACAAAGATTTGCTAACATAGTTAAAAAAAAATATATATATTATTAGTAACCATGGAAATGAGATGTCTTGAAACACTGCAAGGGTGACCAGAAGAGAGAAAATAATCAAGAATGCTGTCATAAAAGAATAAAGTCTCTTATGACCTAATTTCTGATTATTTTCTTTCTTCTGTTCCCGCTTGCAGTTTCCAGAATCTAATTTCCATGGTCACAAACAACGTGTGTTTGTGTATGTGTGTGTGTGTGTGTGTGTGTGTGTGTGTGTGTGTGTGTGTGTGGTGGCATAGAGCTCAAATGAATATTCATTGTACGAGATGCTTCACTGTGCTCCTCGGCATTGTCTTATGCTGCCTGCTGCATCACTGACGCAAAATAAGGTCCTTTACTTTACGTTTACATCAATGGACTGAACAGAAGATCTTCTGTCTTTTTCTGCACCTTTACCACCAAACAGAGTACATGACTTTAAGCAACCAGCAGTACACTTTCTAATCCCTTGCCATCTTGCACATCTCATACAACATCTTAAACCAACATCCATCGTAAACAACTTCCACAAACAGTCATAGATATAAGTAACCGCTAAACTTACAAGCGGAAACTACTTGAATAGAATATCCGCACAGATTATGATCTCCCACAAAAGATAATAATTTTTTTTAAATATATTGTGATTTATTACACTTATAATGAATGGTCGCAGCATTACTGTTTAGTAATGCTGGTAAAAATAGAGCATATTCCAGCTATTGTAACTAAGAATTAGATTTCGATGATGTATATTATTATCATAACCATTATTATATGCTAAATGATGTATGAATGAAATAATGTATGCAAGGATCGAAGTCAAAAGTGCAGAAAGTAAGACGGCCTGCATGCCCATTTCCTAATCATTGGAAAATAACATTCGTATCGGCCTTGTTAAAGACGACAGACTGTGGTGTCTGGCTTTACAAAAAATGTAGGCAGAATTAACAGGCCTGTTCAAAAGACAACGAATCAGTCAGGTGCCGTCTCCTTGGTGATGGCTGGCTGCAATGGATCTCTACCACACCGTCTTTGTCCCTGGATGTACACTCTCTCCGATTGCCGTCTCTTCATCCTTGGTATTTCACGTGTCTTTTTATTTTAAAATGTCTTTCAGCAAATGTTTCCCTTCCTAGTCTATCCAGAACCTCTTTATTTTTTTTTTTTTTATTTTTTTTTAAACATAAACATCTCCGGAGAATTCTACGATTTTTTAACCTGAGTTGAGTTCAGTTAAGAATTGTCATCACAACACTCGGGGAATTCTCACATGCGCTCCGTCCCCATCTTCAACAGCCAGCGTAAGGTTCCAATTATAATGGTACTGTTCGTGGTCTGGTTATATGTCTGTCTTGCCTTTCCTCTGAGTGTAGTGAACCGGCCAGACCCTTTGGTCAAATCCAGGTGCATCATTTTCTCCAGGTCATAATAATCTAGTGTCTCTTCTGAATTTAGACACGATGTTCTACCCGGTTGTTAATTGTCCAGACATCCACATCATACGGCATGATTGAATTCATATAACATTTGATACTTAGATGTGTAATATGTTAGTTATCTGTCTAGACGTCATTAGTTTCCACAATCATTTTTGGCGGACTGTCTAAACTACACGATTGAAGATAAAGAGATTTGCTGCCCTAAAGGGATTATGTCCATAATTAATAAACTAAGCCTGGAACGGTTAAGTAAGACGTTCAAACGTCACACATTGATAGGAATGATATGAACAACTATAACAAGTGCTTTCTGTACAGCATGCAATGTTGACAGTCTATGTTTTCAATGTGGCCCAATGCCCTCTGCACACTGTTTTTTAGTTCACTCTAACAAAGGTCATGTTTTTTTTTTAATGATGCTGCTTCTGCACACTGCAAGCGTGTGACGACGAATACCTTGATTTGGTTTCAGTTAACTTATGAAAAATACATAGCTACTGTGTATAAAAAGGCCAGCCCACTCTAAATTAGCCTCCCTTTTGGCTTCCGGACAGAAGCTGCAGGAGACCCACCTAGCTGTTGTGGTTCTGCACACTGGACGAGACAGCGTGGGTTCGGAAGACTACAGGAGAAGGCGGGTTGCCTGGCTGATTTCCTGATGGTGGTACATTTTCTGTAGTTAACCCTGAATTTGTGCGTATCATCGCCCGGAGATAGTTCATTTTATTAGTGAAGTTCTTAGCACGTTGAGGATCATTATGGTTAATTAATCATTAACTATTTATGAACAGCGCTTGGTATTGTCTTATGTTCAGTGAAATAAACAGATGTTTAATGTGATAATTGTAATTCTAGTTATTTTAATTCAGATTAGGTCTTGTTTTTAGTGTGCCTAGTTTACTTGTTTTTGCTGATTAGATTTTACACAAAAGATCTTATGTCTGGGCTAGAATATTTTTGTTTCTAGTCCCCACCTACCGAACACTCTTTTTTTTTTTTTTTTTTTCTTAGTCCTTGGGGCGTTTCGCTTCTAGTACACACGAAAAGTTTACGAACAGAATTATAGAATTTAGCTGACAGTAGAGTGTAGATGACAAAATCGGCCGTACAGTTGACCGCTATTAGCACTTCCTCAAAGTCTCGCAGTGCAGAGGATAGCTGCTGGTACAAAGCAGACATAAGAAATATTTGGTGAAAAACGTAAAAGACACACGAAGGAACATTGCACAGACAATAAACCGCACAAACGGTAAGCAACATGCGAGACACTTTCACACTGACATCACTCTTCTTTGCATTCATTGAAGTCATGGCTGAACGTTGCTCGGCAACAAGACGCAGTTTATACAGCAAAGCACAACAGTTAGCTGTAATAATACAGCAAAAGATGCAGGGACTTGAGTTGAGAACAATATATCCGACTATTGATAATGCTGACATATTCGATGTGAACCAGTCTGTAAACACAATAGATGGGCACGAATGGTTATACTTGGTATCGAAGCTCCATTCAATCCTGCGGTAAAAACCCAACCAGGGTTGCATTATAATAATCCACGATAAGTAAATACACATTACAATAGCAGTTGTGTTTCTGTTTGTAAACCATGTAGACACTTTTAACGGACAGTAAACAGCAAGGAGTCGTTCCACGGATATGAATGCGATATGGCTAATACTAATAAACATTATCAATCTACCGATTACATACACATAGGTATATGTATACAACTGGTAAATGTGTCCAGAATAATAATCAAATGCATATATTACACAACTCAGTTTTCGCACTGAAAGCGTAATTAAATAACAGAGATCAACACCGGCCAACGAAATCAACACAATGTTACTAGTGTCTTTAAAGCCTTCTCGATAAAGAACAATTAATGTGATGCTGTTTCCGAATGCACCGAGGATGGCAATAAAATGGACTAGATAGCAGTTTATCACAATGTCCAGAATGTCTATTGCAACTGAATTGGTATTATTGTTTTTAAAGTGTACACAAACAGCATGTTCACTTGACAGCATTCTATCTATACGTCAGGTCACTGTCAGGGGATGTCAACATGCAATTTAGACTTATGTTGTCAGGAAATGATACCAGGCAATTTAGAGTGACACTTTCTGTCTTAGTGCTCACGGATTCTTAGATAAGTCTTCCTTGTTGACCCAGCAATCATCCGATGTTTTTCTTGAAGAGGACTTCGGCGATTTAAGCGTCCTCGTTGTCGTCTTCCTTGTTGACTTCGGCGGGTCGATGTCTTTGGCGTCGTCGTGGCCTTTAATGTCGTCTTCGTCGTCGACTGCATAGCCTAAGTTTTTTTCACTAACTGTCCCGGATGTCTCGGACACGAGGCGACTTTAGGAAAACAGGAGACTCGTCGTCTTTGCAGGTATCTTCCTCTTAATTTGCTCGTCTTGGGACAGCGTAAGTCACTCGTTCACCAATCTTTATTGGTAAGTCATTAACATTGGTACTATTCGAGTCACTAAGATGTCTTTTCTGTTGGGGAAGCACTCGATGTCTTGGTCCTTTGATACATCTTAAGTCACTTAAGGTATGACACGCATCTTTCACCAGCTGTGCCCTTTCGTGAGTGTTTTAAGCTGTCTGTCGAGAAAGATATAGTGCACTTTTGGCACCTAAAATTTCCCTAGCCCTCATTCGTCGCCTGGAAGCGCCGCCTCTGACCTACAACAATCCCTCCAAGAGCGGTGTAATCTAACAATATCACACAACAGTTCTCCTTTTTTACTATAGCTCAACCATATCCATACGGCCAGAACCCGACACTTTGACACACAGGTCCTCCTTTTGCTATTTTTCCCCCTACAACTTAATCGACCACTGAGTAGCCATTTATATATCACAACGGCCGCTCTTCTGTTAACGTTTTCGTTTTTACTACAACCTAAACCCTCCCTAACCTATCAATGTCCACACTATGACAAGATACCCGCCACCCGTTGTATGTTTTCCTTTTTTTTTTTTTTTTTACTACAGCTTAATCCCTTTCTGCGCGGCCGGCCTTACTTGCCATTGCCATAAAAGTCGCCATTTTGCCATAAATTCCAATTTTTTACTTTAACTCCAACCCTCAATGAGCGGTTGGCATTCGTTGCTATGTCACACAAGTCGCCGTTTTGCCATAAAGTCTCTTTTTACTTCAACTCAAAGACTACTTGAGTGGTTTGCATTCGCTGCTATGCCAAAGGGTCACCATTTTGCCATAGATTCCCCTTTTTACTGCAACACAAATCCTACCTGAGTGATCGGCATTCGCTGCTATAACACAAAGGTCGCCGTTTTGCCATAAATTCCCCCTTTTTTTTTACTTTAACTCAAACCCTCAAGGAGCTGTCAACATCCAATAATATATCACAACGGCCGCCACTTTGCTAAAGTTTTCATTTTCACTACAACCTTAACCCTCCTAAAGTACCAACATCTAACACACTATGACTAGCCGCCCACCCTTCTGACGTACGTTCTCCTTTTTACTACAACTGATCGGTCGACCTTCGCTCCCATGACACAGATGATGATGATGGCGCTCGAGTCGCGCTGTATCATATATCCCCGGTCATCAAGCCGCCTTCCTAGGTTTCTTTATCTAAACCCTAAAACGGCCCCCCTCTGCCGCCTGTGACTGGCGCATATACTTTTATTTTCAAGTCCCCTAAATTGCTTCGTTTGTAACACACACACACACATATATATATATATATATATATATATATATATATATATATATATATATATATATATATATATATATATATATATATATATATATATATATCCCCCCCCCCCCTGCTAACAAACCACTCCTAATTTTGTCTATTACAGAACCTATAAGCCCGCACCAACTCTATTAGTCACCCTGTCGCCAGGTGTTCCCTGCCCCGCCAGCCCCGCTGCTCGCCTAAATATTGTTCCTGACGTCGCCTTATATATAATCCCATCGACAGACGAGTAAAACGCCACCTGTCGTCCACGGCTTTGGAGATAACATTTCGCCTGCAAAGTACCGATTTGCCCGCCCGCACAACAATACACTAAAGAAATATCGGTTTGCCTTCCTTTAAAAAAATTTCTGTCCTCTGGAAATACTGACAAACGACACCCCGGGGACAATGGAGACAACATATCGATTTCATATACCTTCCCCTGCCCAGAAAAACCAGTCACTCGTACTGTCGTCGGCCTCCCAATATTTGTATCAAGTGCATCTTTAAATTATAATAACTGCTGTGTATGTATATTGACCATGATTTATGTATACTAAAGGCTATAGGCAGGGAAAACAGAACGCAAGATGGACACTATTACCAGACACGAACACCCACAAATCTTCTTGCGTCCCCAACGAAACTACCCGGCCCCCCTCTGCTGTAACTGCCGCCTATAAGTCTCTTTTCATATCCCCTAACTTGTTGTAACATATATACCCGCCGCTAACAAACAACTCTTAATTTTGTCTATTACAGAACCCATAAGCCCGCGCCGATATCCATTGTCTGTGTGGGGGATGAATCATACTCCACTTTATCAAACATTTGGCCCTGCACTAAAGAAATATTTGATTTCCTATACCTTTCCCTAAAACCAATCACGCGTCACCAACCGCCCGATCGATATTTACTAAGGATAAAGACGCTGGCGGTTGCAGCCGCCGGAAAGAACCAATCACTTATGGCCGCCATCTTTTACTAAGGCTAAAGAGGGATCGATTTCCCAAATAATACCTCAATTACCAGCGTCTTTTCTTCAATTCTTGGTCAACTGAAAAGTGTTTAGTTCTCGCTCAAAGCTCAACATTAGTGACTTTCTTGTCATGTAATTCCATCTTTTCCCTGGGGCATCAGATAGTTATGTTCGTAGGTTATTACTTTCTAGATTAGTGGAAAGATGATACGTTCATTTACTATTTATATTATGGATACATTTATGAAAAACGCATGCTTCTTAGGAAGACGAGTATTTTGAAGGGCCTATTGTGAGACTGGCTTACGAGCACAATTTATGGCCATAAAAGAGACTGCTCCTTCTTTCGAAGGGAATCACGGATAATTTTTCAGTGAGAAATTAGTGCTGTTCAAATTATGCATATTGCTGTTTGAATATAAAACGCTTCAAGGTTAAAATATAATTGTTGTGCGAAAGATAGGATTTTCGAAGAGCCGTGTATCGACCGGCTTTCGTGACCCTTTAAAAATAACGTTTCTTTTTTTCCCCCAAGGGAATCACTGACAGGCATGAGATATTAAATTATGGAATGCTGCAGATATATGAGTTTAACAGAAGATAGACACACGTGAAATTATAAAACAAATACAGAACGATACAGATGTCTCAGAAAAAAGAAATTATCTCCTAAATTTATTTGCCAGGCAACGGACAGACAATGGATTCTAAGAAGTTATGATGTAGTTAGTTTTCTAGTGATCTGAATTTCGGTAAATTCATAAGTTCCTCTGTATATAAATGTAAGTTCATTTGTACAAATTTATCCGAATCGGATTTCACGTAATGTTACTTAACATCGATCCCGGATGGAGATAGTATAAATAGCTCAGGTAATCTGTGGCTATTATATTCTAGGAATCTATATGTAGAGTATTAGCTTTGAACATGACATATTTTCCTGGTGATTTTCTATATTTAAACAGTGCCATACATTACAGAACATCGTGTCGTTGTGCTAACACGGTGTAGATAATCACAAGTTATGCAGCCACAGATATAGCTCTGCTACTGAATTTAAATTTAAATTTAATTATAAAACACTGTGAATCCACCGCCCTTCCCTATCACCATTGACACCTAGACAAAGACGTTTAGAATTTTTTGTTTTATAGCAGAGATGATTTTTGGTACTTTCCGATTAACCGACCACAAACAGGGAAAATCCACAAGTCACTTGAGAGTCAAATATTTAAGGGATTGGTAGATTAGGCGTATAGTTTTGGTAAACGCGAGAAAACCCGCTAACGCACAGAAAACACGGAAAACCCGCTTTTACCAGCCTCTACAATATAGGACTCTCTTGTCACGTCATTTTTTTTTCTTTTCATTTTTACTGCAAACGTGGGGTTTTATTGGATATCACAAGGTTAAAAAAAAAAAAAAAATTTTATAGAAAGAACTTCCCTTTTACATATGAACAGGTCACGAGACCTAAATAAAGTCTACGTTATTTCAAGAGTATGTTACATCATGTTGAAGCCGTTTCGCAGATGATTGAAAACAACTATGCCTTGTGTGTTTTTGTGTGTGGGTGTGTGTGTGTGTTTGTGTGTTCTATCAAAGCATCGCGAAGAGTAAATGATTTAGCAGACGATAGTGAGTTGGCAACATTCAAAAGAACAAACGAAAAGAGGTGTCACCAGACTTGAATACTAAAAGGTAGCCAAATAAGAATAGTAAACCAACACAGAGCTGGTGTTATCAAAAATGGGATCCGAGATACAGTCAGTTCAGAAAATAATGAATCCAATTTCATACCTCTAGACTATTGGCTGTGGTGCGAGTACCCTTTAGTTATATGCCAGTCGACACTAGATTAATAATGCTAATATAATGCCGTGTTTCCTTCCTAACGCATTTTCTGGTACATTGTTTAAGTAGATGGTGACCTGGAGTCTTCCATGTCAATGTTAATTCTTTCTTGAGGTTTTAGGTTTGAACAACTGATCAACATCATGGCACACGGGTAGAAACACATAGGTGCTCCGTTCTTCTGCTATCTCAAGTCTGATTCTGACGAAGCTAAGCGCAGTATACAGGCTCTGTAGCACCAACGAGGATCCTGAAATACTTTCGGTAGATTTTTAACTACCAATTTTTCCCGGCAGCGCCGTTAGGCTACTCTTTTCGATTTCCAACTGCCAAAGAATTTTTCACTTGCTCAACAATGGACACGGGCGTCCGATCTCACTACCCAGAGATGCCAGGGAAAATTACCAGCTGTCCAAATCCACGTGACAAAATTCCAGCCCTTACGAAAGATTGAACTCGGAACCTC